CAATTGTAGAATCGTATAACCTTCTTTATTTTTAATATTAACATCAGCTTTTTCTTTTATTAAACGTTGAACTTCTTTTAATATATCGATTTGATGTAATGATTTTTTATTATAATTATTATTTTTTTTTCAAATAATCGAATTAATGCATGAGTTGACTATTAATTATAATAGATAATTTAATAAGACAAAAAAAAATTATAATAAAATATTTTATTCTTACACTCTCAATATTTTTTGTAATAGTATTAGCTGATTGTGGTCGTTTTTTATTACGATGTTTTACTTTTGTTCGTTGTGATTTTTCTCTTGGATATTCATCTATGTAGAAAACAAAGTTTTTTTTTGTTGCAAAAGAATACTTTTGCCTACTATCAGAATAAATTGTATTTGAATATGGTGAACTTCGTTCACTATTTATTGGATAATATTCATTTGTTTCATTAATAAAAAATGGTGATTGTGAAAGATTTTCTGGTTTACGAAATACTGTTTGTATAGTTACTTGATATTCATTTTCATGTACAGTTGCATGAATCATATTACCCATACGTGATTCACCTAAAAAAAATAATTAAATAATATATGAACTTTTTTAATATTAATATATAAGATATATATATAGAGAGAGAGAATTTATATTTTAAATAATAATTATTATTCATTATAACAAAATAAAAGTATTTGTTTTTTTTAAATATTAAAGATCTTTACCAATCAATGATTGAAAATCTGGTCGATTAACTGCATAAGTTTTTAAATGAGCACAAATATGATCTAACTGTTGTCGCCAATATCCTTTTCCTGGACTTGTAGATGTTAATATTGGATGATATTCTTTCAATTCTTTTTCAGCTAATAATTTTTTATTTTGTGTTATAATTCAATCAATATCTTTTGCACTTGGATAATAAATTCTATATGTTTGTGTTGCAGCTTCTTTTTTAATTGTTGAATATGATTGATGATAATTAGTTAATGTTGTATTTGCATTAAGCCATACAGGATTAACTGAATTACGTGTTAATGTCTATAGAAAATAAGAATCGTTTTATTTTTTTGCTTTTTTTTATTCTTTAATTTTAATATACACTAGCAATCATTGATGACGATGAAATATTCAAATCATTTTAAAGACGTGTATCAATAATACGTAATGGTGGTTCAATAACACATCCACATGTTGAACAAAATTTTGCAAATGAATCATTATTAGTATGACATTTTGTACATTGTATTGATGTAGATGCATGATCAGGATATGCACTACACCAATCACAAAAACGAGCATTAGGATTATTTAAACGAAAACATTTTGAACATGTTATCATCATTGTATTAGTTTGTTTTGATATTGTTGGAATTGAAATTGAAGTTCGTTTTTTCTATTTAAATATAAATACGGAAAAAATAAATAAGATTTTTTTTTGTTTACTGGTGATGTCGATGTTGGTGTTAATACATTTTCACAAATATAACATGTTCGTAAATGTATTGGATTTGTTGATTTACAATGAAGACATAGAATTCTTGTCTAGAGAGGAACATTAAAATTTGATTAATTTTTTTGAAACCTGATTTTGAGAAGTTGGTCGCTGTTGTGGTTCTTTGGATACTGGTGTTTCACATACAACACATGTGTTAGAATTAAATGGAATAGTAGATTTACAATTTGTACATATATTAATCCAATTAAAGAAAAATTATCCGTGTAAAATAAGATAACTACTATTCATTTGTAAAGTAATCAATACTGTTATGTAGAACAATACATGATTCGTCGAAGGATATACTCTATCAAATTTTACAGTTCTGAGAAGTCATATACCCCCCGCCCCTCCCAATTAAGGAAATATAACCGATTTTCTAATCTTTTTTTGCGAAATCCTTCCTTTCCTATCATAATTAGTACAGTTTTTACAAAAAATGGTAGTTTTTTCAGCAAAAAACACCTAAAAAACAATAATTAAAGTTATTAATTAAATATTAATTTTTTAAATAATTTTAATTAAAAACTGACCAAAAGTTGATCTCCAATAGAAGACCATCCAAAAAGTAGTGATGTGCCAAGACACTGTATAAGGGCATGCACTTTTATTCTGGGGGAGGGTTACTAGTTAACAGGTATTATAGCAATGATGGCTGTTGTAAGATATGACTGTCGAGGACAAAGGCAACCAACTATGCAACTTTTTCCTTGTTCTATAAGTGCGATTCCTGAGAATAGAAAAATATATGACTTTTCTTTTTGTTTTTAGGCTTCAGAACATCGAATGTGATTCGGATATGTAGTTCTATCACATTCAACATATGTTCGGGTTTCTTATAAGAATTAATAGCTTTATCAAGATTCTGAAAGAGAAAAACGTTTTTTTACTGTTTTCGAAAGACTCATATATATATGTCAGATATAGGTTATTTTTGAGATCATATTACTCATCATTGCTCTTATATATCTTAACTGGTATAATGACTTTTATGAAAAAATAATTTCGTAAATAACTATGAGTTGTTCAACAGAATGGAATTAGGTAGTTTCTTTTTTTCAAATGAAGGGTAGTCATCATATCCGATAGAATTATTTTGAATTACTGAATAATTATCCGGTGGATTATGAGTTAGTTTTTGCCAAGGTAGACCACATTCCGTACAAAATCGTGTATATAAATCATTTGATTTAGGTGCAAAACAATGTGCACATCTAGAAAAGAAACAACAAAGCTCAAATAATAAAATAATTTTGTTTCGATAAACCTTAAAACATTTGTTTGTATTTGAGAATTTGAATATGTATAATTAGTTGGATTTTCTTGTACTAATGAATCAATTGTTGAACGATGCATTGATTCTATATAGAAATTTTATTAATAATAAATAAAATTACTTTTTTTTTTTTTGATACCAGATAATTTTTGTTGCATTTGTTCATTTTCATTTTGCATCTTTCTCATTAATTCCTATTGAAGTAAAATTATAAAATCAATTAATAAATATTTAACTGAATTAAATATGTAGAAAAAAGTTCGATTGCTTTACTAATTGTATGTTTACAAATTGTTCTTTAGATAAGACTATGACATTCTTCAGAAATATTTATTTTCAAATCTCGAATTTGCACATTTCACAGAGATTGAGATCACTGACAATAGTTTGTAATGAAAGTTTTAGATATATTCTTATCGGCGAAATGAAAAATATTTTGCAATAAATTATTTTCGTTAACATCTATCTCTATGTAAAGTTTCAAATCGAAATTTAAAAACTAAAATTGAAGATGTGTCAATGACTTTGATAAGTTTTGAACTTCATAGAAAAAAAAACATTTTAATGAAGTAATATCGATAGACAAGCATTAAATTACTACTAACATATTAGTGATCTTCTAATTGAACTCTTGAAATATCGAGACATTCTTGAATATCAATTTTTTTTTAATAAAATTAAAGATAAATATTTTTGCAAACTAAAATATATTTATATTGAAAAATTGAATATTTAATTAAACTTTAACATCTTGATTAATCATCTATAATGACACATAAACTTGCTCGTATATCCAACAGATTATTTTATTTTCGTAATATTTTATGAAAGATTCAATGTATTCAGATGTGTTTTTCTACAAAAATCGAATTCATAGTTTCTTTTAATGAAAACTCAGCTTTTTCTAAAATATACTTTTTCAAATTACTTAAATAAATACTAAAAAGAATATTCTTTCACTTGATTCAAATTCATTGTACATTTCATATAAAAATAGGTATGATTTCATAATAAAAAAAAAAGTATTCTATACAGTATTTCAATAAACATGAGATAAGTAAATTTCTATTGAATTTATTTATTATCTATCATTTTGAAATTTTTTACCTTTCGTTCTTGTTGTAATTCATATAAATATCGATTTTCATATTCATCCGATAATGAATGATCTGATGGAATAATTTTAATATCAAATGTTTTTGTTACTATAACACTTTCTCGAATTCCATCACTAAATAAATTTTAATAAAAAAATAAAAATTCTTCAAATTGATTTTTTTGTTTTCTCAAATATCTTTGCCGTGATGCCTGTATTAGCTATATCTCTTGGTATATAAAATGGTTTTTTTTTATATTGTATAGTCGAACGTCGTGTTGATAATGTTATAAATGCATCTGGTTTTGAACCATCTAATGTATAATAAATATCAACATCATTTGTATCACTACGTATTTCAATCAATGTATTTGTATCAATGGAAAATTTTTGTGTATATCCAACACGTAATGGAATTATTGACGGAGCAGATATTGAACCAGCAGTCATTTTGTTTAACAATTCAAAAAGTAATTAAATTGACATGATGAAACCATATCAAACTTTTTTACATCAAACGGTTGTCTATCATTTTGAAATTTTTCATTACGAAGTTGTACTTCACGTCTTTCACGTTCTGCTTGTTCTCTATAATAATAATAATCAAAATTTCTTTAATCTTGTTCTTTTTTTTTTCATGGGATTCTAAATAAAGACTTACAAACGAACTTTAATTATATTTAATTTATCTTTATATTTTGATGTTACATTAAGAACATTTTGTGAAAGATATTCAGATTGAGCATTAATTTCGGACTAGAACAAAAAGCAAATGACAATAAAAAATTATTTTAATCTATATATAAATAATTATGTTGGATTCATCGTCTCAGTCTAGAGGAGTTTTATATATAAGATAAAAGAAAAAAATAATAAGTGCAGAAAAATGTGCTTATGGAAATATTTTATCTAAGAAATTTAATAGTGAATAGAAAAACATGAAGAGAAAAAAAAGGAGAAGCAATAATAAATCATATGTATTAATACCAATTTTTTCCGTAGCTGAACTAGTCGAATCATAGAATAATATGTACGCGATATGTAAGAGAATGAAATTATTATTATTATTATTATTTTTCTTTACCTTTTCTTTTTCCAATTGTTCACAACGACGTGATGTTTCTTCAAGTACAATTTGTACATGTTCTAATTGATGTGTAGCTATACGAATACGTTCACATACATCATCATATTTTATTTTTAAAGATTTATAATCATTTTCAAATTCATCTGCACGTCGTCGTTCTTTTTCCAAATCAACATTTAAATTTGGCTCAATCTATATTTATTAATAAATATATTAATTAAAACATACAAAATTTTAAATAAAAAAAACAAAATAATTTGTTCTTGACAGAAAATAAATCATGGCTATATATATATACGATAAAATTTTCTCATTATGACATGAATAATAACATACAATTTCCATAATGTGAGTAACATAAATGATACTATGATAAACAATATTGACTAATTAGATAAAAAAAAACAATTTTACATAACAACAACAGTATTTGATATAACATCTTGTCGATATTTTTTATATTAATAGCTTATGACATTAAATCATGTCAACACGAACTGATTTCCCTTTGATTAAAAAAACAAGAACGTGCAATTAATTAATTGTTAGAAAGACGAAAATAGAAACTGAGCACTTTTGAAGAGGTCTAATGGTACTCAAATTTGAGACGTTTTGCTTTAGGAATGTTTTCATTTTTTGTTTATTAAATAATATTAAGTCGGTATTCATTGTAATGAATTGTGAGAATGATTTCACGTATGTCGGCGGCATTCAATATGATGGCGTCTTGCGCCATCGGCACTTTCAGGAGTTTTTTCTTTTATTACAATATGTGAACCACTTATGATAAGAACTTTTTAGCAATAACATTTCCGATCGAAATGATTACCTTGACTTTTTTTTTTACTTTAAATTTGATAAAAGAAATCTGTAAATGTAATCTTTGTGCGATTACATGATATAATTAGTGTTGCTAATAGAGATCTGCAAACTGGTCCCGTAATATTTTCTGTTCCAGAACTAGACTACCTATTTCCATATTTATTATTCTGTTCTGATTAATGATCTACAAATAGGCCTTTTTCATTTATTTATGCCCAGGTCGAGAAGTACGAGCGGATTCCGGCAGAAAAACCCCGAAAGTTACCGGAACAGGGTGGCAGTATTTCGGCCGGACACTTTTCGGATTTTTCCTGTGATTTTCGATCAAATTCCTCCCGTTTTCTTCAGGAAGTTGTCCGGAAAAATCCAAAACTTTTCCGGCCGAAATACTGCCACCCTGTTTCGGCGACTTTCAGTGTTTTCGTGCAGGATACGGTGAATTTTCCCGCATCTTTCCTACAGGATCTGGTGACCGGAATCTTCGACCTGGGATTGTTAATTTCTCAAAATCATCAATATTCATTATATATATATTCAAAAAATCATACAGATTATAAGAAAAGTCGTTTTTTTTTCTAGAAACAATAAAAAGTTTTAAATTGAAACCAGGACCAAAAAAAGAAAAGATGATCCCACCGATACCTAGTTGTTAATCATTGATTGATTGTTTTATTCGATCTATTTTAGGATATATTTTTACTTAGTTTCTATATAAATATAATAAGATATTTAAGTATTAAGAAAATTAATAATATTCATAAGTTAATATTTACTTTTTCTTGTTCATGTAATTGTTTTTGTGCATTATTTAATTCAGGTTTAAGTGTATTTGTATGTTCAATTAATTCATTATAACGTTCACGTAAACGTAATAATTCAAATTCAACTTCAATATTTTTATTCTAATATAAAATATATTTATATAAAGAAATGTATTAAAAGAAATTTATTCATCATACATCATTATTTGATTCTTCATGTTGAGTTCTAATTCTATACGAAAAAAAAAAACATAGGAAAAATAAAATTCGAATGTTTTTTGTTTGTGTCTATACTTTAATATTTGATTTTCATTTGTTAATTTCATAAGATTTTGTTTATTAATATCATCTAATCGTTGACTACATGTTAGAATATGTTTATGTAATACATCACATTTTAATTTAAGATTTTCCATATGAAATTTAATTCCTTCATCCGAATTATCAAACTAAAAAATTATGAATATTTTAAATATCAATCCAAAAAAAAGAATGCAATTATACTGTTTGTTCAAATTGAATAGTTTTTTTCTCTGTAATTTCAAGTTCTTGACGAACAAGATCAATTTCACGTTCAAGTGAACGTTGTTGAATAATAGAAAATAATTTTGTTTGTTCAATATCTGATATATTTTGTGATTTTTCCATTTAATATTATTTAAATTAAATTTTACTTTTTTTCGTTTTTAAATTTTAATAATACATACTAAATATTTTAAAAGATCATTTTCTTCTTGTTGTGAAATAAATTTTAATTTAAATTCAAGTAATTTCATTTCTGTTTGTTGCATAGTTTCAAATACTAATTGATGTATAGATAAAGATGATAATGTTGTTGTTGTTGTTGTTTTTTGTTGATCCAATTTTTGATTAATATATGTTACAATATAATCAAGTTTAGAACGAAATGTTTCAATTTCATGTTGTAATTCAATATTTTGTTCCATAAATTTTTTTGATAATTCTTCAGCTTCTAATAAAATATAGAATTGAATTAATTAATTATTTCTGTTCTCTATGAAAAGTTTCAAAATACAAAAAAAAACAAAATTAGTCTTTCTCATATTTAAGAAATGATAAATTAATATTATTATATTTGTTAGAATATATCTGAGAATAAAAGTGAATGCTTTATCTCAAAAGTATACAAGTCAACATATATTTATCAGTATTTTAGTATCATTAGAAGATAATAAGAATGAAGCAAAGATCTTCTATAGAGAATTTTTTACTATAATCTTGATATCAAATATCAATTTTTTTTCTGGGAATGATAAATTTACATTTAAAAAAAAAAAGAATTGCTAAAATTAGAAGTAACTTAACAGGAAAAAGGGAATTACAATATTGAATTACAAGCCTACCGTAAGAATATAACATACTCCGTTTAATAATGATCTTTAATTCTAACCGAGAATTTTTTTTTTTTTCTCTTCTTATGTCCATCATCAAAACTATAGTTGGTATATCTTTAGTATTTAATTCATTGAAGGATTTCTTTCGTTAGTAAATGAACTTAAGTAATAACTGTCTCATTCGATCTTATTGTTTAACCTCAGACGAATCCGTACAACTAATTATAATAATAATTGAGAAGTTCTATATACGATAGTTTTTACTAAAGATATATCTTCTTTGTTATTCGATAAACAACAATAAAAAGTATACAATAGAAGAAACCATTAACTACGACATTATTATTATTACATGTAACTAATGTCCATTTCAGAGTTAAATGGACGTGAGCATTTTTTGAATAACTTTTGATAGGAACGAATTAGAGATCTCCGGTTTTCACCGTTGGAAAGAGCGGATGAAGACGCATCGAATTATATATAGAAAGATTTTTCTAACTACTTTCCTATAGGTTTTATATAAAACTTCAAGAAAAACAGCATGCTTCTCATGGTCATGATATCAACTTGTTGATTTTCAAGAGTGCTCTAGAATGGCCAAAGGAAGAGCTACCAAACTATATCAAGACGCTGTTCCTAACTACTACCAGTATGATATGTAAACCATCGGAACACAATTTACCACCTCATTTTTTTTCAACAAAATAATCGAAAAATGTAAATTTTTGTCGTATTTTGATAGAAAAGCCAATTTTTTAACATATGAGAAAAAAGCAATTCTTTGAAAACTTTTGACTAAACCTATAGGAAAATAGTTTAAAAAAATCTTTATAGTTCGATGCGACTTCATCTGTTCTTTCCAACGGTGAAAATTGGAGATTTCTATCTCGTTCCTATCAAAAGTTTTTCAAAAAATGCCCACGGCCATTTAACTCTGAAATGTACATTAATAAATGTTGTACAGTTTTGACTCATATTTAACCTATTTTATTTCATTGCTTTATTCTAAACAAAATTCTAAGTACGGGAATTTAACTAATTGATGTATGTTCTTATACAAAAGCATAACTCTTACAAAAAAAAATTGAATTTTTGTTTTGTGATTAATCTTAATGTTTATTATAACATTTACTTCAAATCTGCAATAGGTTTTTAGATTTAATCTTACTGCTAGTATATATGACTATAAGAAATCAAATATATAGATATTTTACATATGCCAATCAAAACTATAGACAATAGAATGAAAAAAGAGAAATTTTGTTTTTAACAATTATAAAAAAAGTTTACAAAATATATTTTGAAATGTAATGACAGAATCAAACAATAGTAAAAATCTCGAGTTCGAAATTAATCCGATGAGCTCTAATAAAGAATTTACTAATCGAAAAAAAAACAAAATTCGATATCAAATTAGCCTTGTTTCTATTGTTATAATTTGATTATATTTGAAGTTTGTTAACTGTAGGAAAAATTCTCCAATTAATCGAAATTACCTTGATCAATAGTAATCACAAGGTTAGTTTATTTTGTATAATGAGATATGTAAAAGTATACTTCAATTCATACCTTGGTTAAAATTTAGATTTAGATAAGACTTTGAATTTTTCATTATTATAACGTATACATAAAATATACTTATTCTTATTCTTATTCTCAATTACATATAGAATCCATTTTGTTGAATAGCAAAAAGGTTTCATAGAAAAGCAGAAAAAAAAATAATATGATCATTATATTTTTTTTTTTCTACTAATAAAATATTTGATGTCTATTATTTTAACTTTTAGAATATAATCAAATTTATTTTATTTATTTATTTGATGAATAATATTCATCATTAATATGATTATTTATTTGAGTTGATCGTGTATATGTTTGATCAATAATATGTATAAGTCGATTAATATGTTCATTTTTTTCTTCAACTATGTTATCTAATTGTCGTTTAAATTCATTTTCAAGAAAATTATTTTGATTTTCAAGTATAAGATTTTTTTCTTGAAGATAATATACATCACGATGAGCATAATTTAGTTTTTCACGTATTTGCTAAATAAAAACAAAAAAAAACAATTCAAATGTAATCGATCTCTAGATCAAAAAGAAAAAAAATATCAACAAGATACTTATTACATATAAATAGAATAGCCGTCTGAGAAAGATAACTTACAAGTGTGGGTGTGGGTGTGGGTGTGGGTGGGTGTGGGTGTGGATGTAGGTGTGGTGTGGGTGGGAGTATGATTCTTCTATTTATCTACATCCACACCCATACGCACACACCCACACTCACACTCACACCCACACCCACACCCACGCACACCCACACCCCACACCCACACCCACCCACACACCCACACCCTATGGGTTGTCTTTCGTTAAAGGGTTTCGGTAAAATCATGTGCTTTAGCACAAATCTCAACAGCACCATTCTTTGCAATAATATTTATCAAAGCTGCCTGCTTCCTACTGCTCGAGCTCATTTCGGACGCAACCGGGTATGCTTTATTCTCGAAGATAATGACCCCAACCATCGGTCCAGTTGGTCAAAGGACTGGAAGCTACAACATAATGTAGCAAATCTTCCATGGCCTTCTCTCAGTCCGGATATGAATCCGATTGAAAATCTTTGGACACTTCTGAAGACCAAGGTTATACAAAGAAAGCCGAAAAATTTATTGACGTTGGTGAAAGCAATCAAAAAAGAATGGAAATTGTTACCGAAAGTATTAGCTACCAACTTGATGTTAAGAATGCCAAACCGTATCAATTCACTGATTGAATCCGAGGGAGATTATACAATGCATTGATCTTTATTGTTTCTTTCTATACTTTGTACAATCACAACCATCAACAATAAAAAGAATATCTATTGAACAAGATGATTGATTGATCTTATGTGTTCGAATAAATTTTCGAATAAGAAAAATGTTTAGTTTAACTCATGAACGTTTAACAGAAATCATTTTAGTTTTCTAACTACAAGTCGGATATATTTAGAGTCAAGTTAATTCTATTTGTTTTTCTTGTTGCAGAGTCGGTTTTAGGTGATTTTCTAAGCCAGAAATAAAGTTTTATGTATCCAAAGATCATTGCATGGCATCAAAATTTCAGCGATTAGCACGCAATGCTATGAAGGAGTCTTTTTGTGGTTCTATATAGACTTTATTAAAAGTTATAGTTATGAAACTTTCACAAAAAATATTCAAGAGCCTATGAGAACGTTTTGCTGAAATTTTCAAGGAAATCGGTCAAGATCATCGTGAGTTACATATGCACAAGCAAAATCTAGACTTAATCGATGGACAAAAGTTTTCATTGAGAAAATCATATCTTAATCATTTCAATATATTTATCTACGAAATTTGTATTGGAGATAGTTTCGATGATGGACTTTTGAATGAAACGTTTCGGGAAAATGAATTTGTCAAAGCTGCTGAGATATAGTCATCACAACGTGAAGATAATGTTCGAGGCTTAACTCCATTGTACAGCAATCAATTAAGGGCGGGTCAGTGCTTTCGATCAGGGTCAATCATGAGTCACATGTTTACAAAAAATCAGCTCAATATCAATAAAATTCGAATCACTTCAGGGGAGCGGTTCCTTTTGTTCAGGACTGCATTAGATGAATATGTACGTCACTTGGATAAAAAAATAAAAGCACTAAGACACCTGGTATGTTATTAACATCTTTTCTTATATTCTGAATTTGGTAAAAATAGAATGTTTCAATCAGTATCAATTGATGAGGGTTCTTTTTCACCACAGTTTAATCGATTTCTTTTTTTTCTGTCAATACAAACGTAGGATGATGAAATTCAAGCATTTTTTTACACTTCTCTCTATTCTTCCGAGTCACATAGCATAGCAGTTTATTTATTGACTGTAAGATTTTCAGTGCTTTTTTTGCATCAACTTATGGTTGTAATCAAGATGTGAGATTACATAATTGGAATATTTTTTTAGAGACTTTCTTAATCTTAAATTTAGTATACTTATGAAACAAATTAAACTCTTTTTTTAAAGATTTGTTCGTTTGAAATTGATAAGTATGAGAAATTTCATTAAAAAAAAATTTTTAATTATCAAATTTATATAATTTTTTTCTTATTGATGGTACATAACGTTTTTCATCAAATCGACTAACATATAATGGATGTTGTCGTCTTCGTTGTTGTCTTTCAATTTTACTTTGTTCTTGTTGACGTTTTTTAAATTCTTCTAATTTTTTTTCTTGATCGGCTTGTGCTGCTTGAGCTTGTTGAAATTGTTTTCGATCAAAAAAATGATTTTGTTTACTAACATATTCACGACAATCTAGCATAGAATTTAATTCTGAAATAAGCTCTTCATCAAGATTTATTTCATTTGAAGTTATATTTGTTATTGTTGTTGTTGTACGGGTAGTTTTATGTGATCTAGAAGGAAATAATTTTTCATCATTAAAATCAAGTTTTGGTATATGACGACGGCATTTTCGCGTTATAAACGATGAATATATTGATTGAAGTTTATTATCATCCATAAATGGACTATTATTTTCATTATTGAATGTTTCTCGATCACAAACAAGAATAAGATCATTATTACAAAACCATCCGATATGTTCATCATGTTGTACTTCAATATATGACATTAAAGTGTAGAATAAATCGTTGTCATGGAAAAATTAATATCCATTTCTAAATTACTTAAAAAAAAATGTTTTTGTTTACATTATTTAATTTCAAGATATGCATAAATTACAACAAAAGTATACCAGTGAATTGAATTATGAACGAAACTGTTTTATAAAGATCATACATAGTTTTTACGTCGAAAATGAGCGAATAATTTAAAAATCTTCGCAACAAAGTTATTTATTTGTAAAAGTCATTCATCATTGTTATTTTTAATTTCATCACTTTTTGAACACTGTTAAATGAAAATTAATATGCATCTACAGTTATGTGTAAAAACAAAAAAAGTTCTATATTACTAATACTCTTTTGGTGCAGTCATATCGACTTTCGAGAGGATAAACAGTTATTTTTTAGGGTATAGATATATAGTATGTAGTACAATAACTATAAACTCTAAGAGAGCCAACAAGATCTTTGGAAGGATGCTGCATCCTCAATCCCATACTGAATAAAATACAGATAGCTAGAGAAATAACTATATTGATGACAGCTTACTTAGGTTTGACGGCAAATTTCTAATAGCATTATTGACAATTATATAAACCAGCTAACATCAAACAATTTGTTATATGAACATATAGTAGAATCTCTTGGCTATAATATATATACAATAAATCTTTTTTTTTGAACTTAATTCTGATATTCTTTCAGATGTAATTCAATCGATATTATATCAAAATACGGATTATTTTGATATAATATGCAAAGATAACTCATGAAGAACATACAATAATATTGAGGTTTAAAACTTTATCATATCTCACAAATACAAAGTGAACAAACCATTTTCATAAAACAAGAGAAGACGTCAATGATGACCTCAATCTGCTTGTCTGGTTTCCTAGCTGGCAGATGTCAATATTGATCTCATACGACAGACTATCAACAATAACCTACACTCAACTGATGATGACATTTGAGCTTAGATTTTTTTTCTCTTAATACAATAGAATGAATTATCTATGATTGTCTAAACATGAGACAAGTTACATAACGTTGGATGTATCATCAACTCAATGATGAACAAAAGCAAGAATAAGTTAAAACTCAATTAACTCTACCTGGATTAGCGGAGATTAATCATCAACAACTATTGTTAGTGTATGTAGATTTGAATCATAAACTTTGTTTTCTATGTTCTTTAAATCAAATTCTCCTGCTATTATACATGCTGTGGATAAAGACAAGACTATAGATCACAACTATTATATTAAAAGGTGCCTCAAGCTTTTTGTCAATAAAGTATGCACATCAGGACCAAAAGATATAAAATTATTTCATAACCATGTTTGACCTCATACGTATTCAGATGTTATTAATTATTTAATACCAAAAAAAATATCAACGTCATGCCGCATCCACTCTTATCGTTAGACCTCGCATTATTCGATTTTTGACAAAAGTATTATATCAGGCCTAATTTAACTGATTAAACAAATGAAAAATCATTAATTCGTACAATTTTCAACATAGCTGAAAATATTTCAGAAGAATTTGAAAAACCATTTAACACAGTGTTAGACAGCATGGAAATTTCTATAAATAATTATAGCGAATATGTTGAACATTTAGTAATTAATATGAAAAATATCTCTCTATTTCGATGGTCTTATTTAATGTTATCAGAACTTTTGATCAACCTGAAAACAGTTTGAACATTGTATGCAAAGAAAAAAAATAATAATATCAACATAATCATGCTAGTTTGTTTTTTCTTCAATTAAACTCTATTTAAGAAATTTTGTTTGATTGAGACAATATCTTGCATTATTTCATTCAAGTCAGATGATAAAGTCCTAAACTGAACAAACCAATTTGCGAGAAATCTAAGTAATGAGTATAAAGATTTCGTAGTTCATCAGTTGATTCATAGAAGAATCATCCGAGATAAAAGCTGTATTGATGATCTAACATAAAAATAACCTAGCCAGTATCGAAATAAACCTTTAAAAAGAAAGTTTCTTTCAAAAAAATATATTTGAACTTGTTTTAAGACTCGTTTCTTATCGAATGTTGATTGAATCTGTAGCTTATAGTCTTTCATGAAGTATTCGAAAGTAACCTACATTCTGATGATGTACTATAATAATATTTATTAATAATGATTTCCTTGATAGGTGTTCGTTTCTATCCAGAATTCATACATGATCTGATGATGTAAACTATGGTAAGAAATACCTATCAATATTGAAATGCACTATAGTAGCAACATATCTGAAAGTATGAATATAATAAAATAAGTTTGCAATTAGAGATTATTTACTATGGGTACTCTTTGAAACTGCGTTCTGACATTCTTTTTGGAAAGAGTTGATTTTCAGGCAAAAGATGAGACTGCACTATAGTCACACTTTAACAAGGGTAGAACTAATATTCCCTTGAGATCTAATTTCATATACTAGCTGCCATTAAAATAAAATCTGATTTTAATTTATGAAAAGAAGTCAACTTCATAAAATGACCTCTGTGAATGATGCATTTCATATGCTATAGGTATTAACTTTTCAAAATGAATTATATCCTCGGTGTATGAGTGGATCTCGATTTCAATATTGAACTTATGATGCATCTATAGATGATCATAGACATTGAACAGAACGAATTTCTATTTGAAGAATATTTTTAGACGATAAATAACGCCCTCTATCATTTGTTCCTCATCAGAAGATCAGGAAATAAAAAATATTTTGTAAAATTCAATTTAATATGAATCTTTGATTACTTGAAAGGAATTTTTAAATAGATATTCTTTTATTTATGATGTTTGATAAAATGAACTTTCATATTTTCTATATTCTTATCAATATAAATAATAAATTGTGATAAAACACCAATCAAATAATATTGAATCGTAAAGGTCTTCTTATTATTTTTGTTTTCGAACTGCCAATCAAAGAAATACAAAGGCATGTTCTCCCTTGTGTTTTTCTTGCCGAGAAAAATAACATAATTAGGCTGTTTTTTGTTTGTGTATGTAATGTTTTTTTTTAGGACGTCAATGAGTTAATCTTGTCATTACTGCTAGGAATATCTTGCAGAGATATAGACATACTGACGTGACTTACAATATCTACTATAGTTGATAATATTTTCCTTTTGCTAAAGCGTATTTTGCTTTATTGATTAAGAGAAGAAAAAGAAGCGACTTGCTCTGTTTTTGATAATAGAAGTCACTCGATACTCATTGGCATCGATCTGAGATTTATATGTTAAAAAGAGGAATAGATAATGTAATATATTTTGCTTCATCTGTTAGTTTCAATTTGTCATTATTATTTCATTTTATGATTGCTAAATTAAAAGGAAAAGGGTAAAAAAAAACCATTCTATTCTTTTCGATCTTGATATTTTGTTTTTTTCTCTGCTACAATATTTTATCGTTAGATGGGAGTAGATTCAATGGAAAGGAAAGAAAGGAAATAAAACGTGAATTACGCAGATTAAAAAGGAACATGTTTTTCCTGTTGTTATTTTTCTCTCTATGAAGATCATTCTTACTACTACATCTACTACTGCTACAATCAATAATATTTTCTATCGAGATGGAAGAGAATCATCATCTGACAATAAGTAAGTATATATATATACTTGTTTTTGTTTTATTTTTTCTTTTTAGTTATACTCACTCAAAGCATGAGTTCCTTTTTTTTCTACTAATATGATAATAAATATTTAAATAAAAATTGAATTTTATATTAATTATTATAACAAAAAATTTCTAGATGACAATCGATTTAATCATGACAATGAAACATATTTAAGAATACGAACGAATTCTGATTCTAGTCAACATTCAGATTATAGTCCAACAACATCAATAAATCATCCACCATTACGTTCAAGAATGCCTAACATAAAAGTATTCGGTGGTTCATCTCATCCTGAATTAACAAAATTAATTTGTGCTCGACTTGGTTTGGAACCAGGAAGAGTTATAACAAAAAAATTTAGTAATCGAGAAACAAGGTAGAAAATTTAAAAAAAAAAAAATTTTTTTCCTAAAGCAAAAATTTTTTTTGATGTATTCAAGTGTTGAAATTAATGAATCAGTACGTGGTGAAGATGTATTTATCGTTCAAAGTGGTTGTGGAGAAATTAATGATAATCTAATGGAATTATTGATTATGATAAATGCATGTAAAATCGCATCAGCTTCACGAGTTACTGCTGTTATTCCATGTTTTCCTTATGCTCGACAAGATCGTAAAGATAAAGTAACGGGAAAAAAAGAAAACTTCTGTTCCCCAAAAACAAGAAAATTGTTTTTGCTTTTCAACATATAGAGTCGTGCGCCAATTTCAGCTAAACTTGTAGCAAATATGTTGAGTGTAGCTGGTGCTGATCATATCATAACAATGGATTTACATGCTTCTCAAATACAAGTATATATTTAATCTTTTAGTTAATAGATATATTTTTATAATATTTATAATATAGGGTTTTTTTGATATTCCTGTTGATAATCTTTTTGCTGAACCTGCTGTTATTCGATGGATATCGTTACATATTCCAGATTTTAAAAATGCTGTTATTGTCAGTCCTGATGCTGGAGGTAAAACTAATTCATTTATTTCAAGAAAGTGAACATACAAAATTTTCTTTTTCTTTTATTTAGGTGCTAAACGGTAATTTGCTTTTTCTTTTAATCTTTCGATTTATTCAATTAAATATGATTGTCTATATAGTGTAACATCGATTGCTGATCGATTAAATATTGACTTTGCCCTTATTCATAAAGAACGAAAACGGGCTAATGAAATTGATTGCATGGTACTTGTTGGTGACGTTACTAAACGTATTGCAATTTTAGTTGATGATATGGCTGGTATATTTTATTTAATATAATTTTAATGTTATAAATTAAATATTTCTTGTTTTGATTTTAGATACATGTGGAACATTTGAATGTGCATCACAAAAGTAAATTAAGATATCCTATAGATTTTGTTTTTGTGATTGACTTTTTATTTGATAGATTATTAAGTGCAGGTGCAAGTAAAGTTTATGCAATATGTACTCATGGAATTTTTAGTGGTCCAGCTATATCAAGAATAAATAATTCACCATTTGAAGCTGTTGTTGTTACAAATACAATTCCACAAGAAGAAAATATGAAAAATTCAAATAAAATTCAGGTATTAATTATGCTTAAAAAAAATAAGATGATGATAAATATCATGAAGAGTCTAAATGTTGAACAACGTCCGAATTGTTATTTATCTTAAATAAAAAAAAAAATAAGTAGTTGCTCATGTCTGTTATTTTGCTTATATCCTAGGAAAAAAAATAATCTACGAGAAGAGACAACTGTACTCGATTTATTTGACACCATTTATAAGACATTTTAACTCTAGCAGCATCAAGTCATAACCGCGAAGAATGAATTCTTATACTAATTCATTACATTTGATACCAAACTGAATACTTAGATATATAGAAAAATACTAAAACTTTTTGTCACAATCCTTTAAACATTTTTATTTATCATGAAATTTTTTTTTGTCATCAAAAAATAAATTTGAAATTTATAATTAGGAACTTGAATACAATAATTAATAAGAATAAATTTTGATATTTTTAGGTAATTGATGTATCAATGATGTTTTCGGAAGCAATTCGTCGTACCCATAATGGTGAATCTGTCTCTTATCTGTTCACTCAAATGCCACTATAGAAATATCAGTGAAAAAACAATCAAAATGATTCATTGTGATAACACCTTTTTTTTTGTTTGTTATTTGTATATCATCGAAACATACATACATACATATGTTTGTAGTATAGTAAAATATCACGGTTTCGTTTGTATAACCTATTGTCACTTCATATGATTATTTTTTTTTCTTTTGTTTGTTCATCAAACTTATCTTTATTCTCCTATTAACTATATAAAAAGAGGTAATATTTCAATCAATGAATGTCAATTTTCGTGCGACGGTAAACATTGATCATAATTATCATAAGTTACATATGAAAGAGAGAAAAGTGAAAAACACGTTTTGATCCCACCAATGATATTAACTAAGAACACAAAATATTGGTGCACCATCAACAAAATGTTTTTATACATATATCATGTTTGTCATTAGGTTTTCTCATCCGTAAAAATACCTATTACTATTTGAAAAGAAACAATCCATAGTTGCAGTCTACCTTTATTTAAAAACATTACACGTATCATTCAGTGTACAAACTAATTATCAATAGTTTGAAATAATATATATACATTTAATTAGACGATATATATTCTCATATACACTGGCATTATTATAAGCAGGTTAGCTCCCTCTTATATCAATTTTTATCATTGTACCGATCAAGGATGCGGTCATGTTAACATCGAAAACCACTGATATATACATATATATGTATGTATGTACAAGAGTATAAGTGTGACTTCTATACAGGTTACAATAATTGTCATATCTATTTATTATAATGATAAGCAACGACGCTCCTTCATACGCAACACAATCTTCTAATACATCAATGCAATCAAATAAAAGTGCAAAGTCTTCATCGAAATCATCAAAAAATGCAGTACAGTATGGGCCAATTCATATTCATCTTTGTCGGAGACCAGCTCCGACAATAGCAACTGGTCGTCGACCAAAACATCTTGCTCTAGTTGGTGAAGAAGCTATTAAACGTGAAAAACGTCGTGAAAGAAATCGACAAGCAGCACGAAAATTAAAAGAACGACGACAATGCATCGAAGATGAACTTAATCAACAACTTAAAGAACTTCAAGGTGAACATGCAAATTTACAGAATTATCTTCAACAACTTCAACAAAAAAAACAAGATTTACAACGAGAAATTAATAATTTTCTTCATGATCCTATTGATAAATTATTATCGAATGATAATCAAAATGTTACTTTATTTTTTGAACAATATTTAGATGATCCGCATTTTATTGATGAGTCAATAGATAATATTTTAAATTCTGCGTTAGACATTAATTTTAATTCATACCTAGATAATTAGGTTTTCTTTTTTTGTATAATGATATTTTTGCTATGCGAAATAATAATCTGTGACTACCTCGAAAAAAAACGACTTAATTTTTGTATGCATACGACATTTGCGTCAAAAAAAATTTCCCACAAGGTAATACTATTTTTGTTTTACCCCATCAGCCTTCATAATATCATGCGTTTTTAGCCATGACAAGCTCTGTCTCTTTTCTTTCTCTTTTCATTAGTATATCCAATAGAGACGAAAGTCAATTGGATTTGAATACCGTATTATATGTTTATCTAGACATTTGTGACAGTAGTATTGAGCTGAATGAAGATGGTAACTGTCAAAAAATATTATTGACGACATTACTTATTTGACATGCGTTGGAAAGAGAAAATCGAAAGAAAAAAAAATATGATATTAAAAGGTGTGTTTGAATAATAATTTTTCTTGATTCATCATCGACTTCTATAAAAATATCCGAGAAATTCAAAAACAAGGCATTACAATGATGAAACGAACAAAAAATGTCACTTTTCACCAATGAATTAGGAACATATCAATTCTATTGTTCATTTCATCATCAGAAATGCCATTTTTTCGTGTTTTTGATATGAAATTCAGGAAAGTCATGAAAATTTTTGATTTTTTTAAGTCCATAGGCATAAACCAACTATTTGAATGAAATATTGATGTATATTGACAAAATGTGTTGAAAAAAATAATGTATATTATACTATATGTCAGTTGTATTTTATTTTCTAAATAGTACAAACAAAAAAAAATATAATCAAATAGATTTTCACACCATTAGACATTGAGTTGTACTATCGTCTGATTACATAGAAATATATATTTGCATCAGTTTGCCTCCTTGTTGAAATTAATTTGAACTATCTTCTTTCTAATTGACTTTCCTTCACAAAAAGGACTAGATAATTGAAAGAAATTGATAATGTATCGTTTTTTTAGGATTTGTAAAAAATTAAGGTGCTTCTTCTTCTAAGAAAAAACCAATTTCAGTCAGATGAGGGGCGTATAAGATGGCATATCAGTCCACTGGCATTTTTCTTAGCCAATCTTATGGAATCTTATATGAACTGAACGCGCAGGTAAAGACTAACATTTTTGTGCTAGTTTCATGACATTTCAATCGAACTTTGAAAGAGTAAATCTATTAGTAAATTAACTCATTCTTACTTATTAATTCAATACTTGACCTTATTATTGTGGATTCAATTTCAGAATAAATAAACAAGACAAAATAGTACTGAAATTATATGGGTTTGATAGCTCTTTAATGCGGCTTAAATCTCATATATAGATCACTAATTAATTATTGAATTCAACGAGATGTCGATCGAATTTACTGGTACGCACTATTATCATATTTGCTGTATTTATCATCTGCTCTTATCTTTCAACAAATGTTTTAGTAAAAAAGAAATATTTGAAACGACCAAAATCTTAGTCTTACTCATTTGATAGCTCGTTTTGAAAGTCAAAAAATAAATGTTCACTTGAAAACTTCCGAAGTATACTCTTCTGGGAGCACGATTTTGTACATTCTTGACTAGTATTTAGCCACTTTTTGCTTCAAAAATGACAGACGAAGCCAAAACCAATATCATATTCGGAATTAGGATGAAAAACTGGATCAATTAATATATGTTGCAAATATTTCTGAGATATTATGCTTTAGTCAAAAATTTACTTCTACTCCCTTTTCATGAATGGTTAAAAATGTCGTTTCTCAAAATAGTCTCTTTATCTTCTATTTTTCTGCACTTTTGACCATTCTCTGAGGTGTCTATGGATAAATTTTTGATAAAACATAATGCCTCAAAAATATTTGAAACATATACAAAGCGATCCAATTTTTCATGCTGATTCCGAATATGGTATTGGTTTTGACTTAGACTGCCATTTTTCAATGCGAGTGTGGGTGTAAAATGTTCCTCAAACCACACCGCTATCCCCACATACATGTCCATACTCACTCATACGGTATCTTCGACGATATATTTTTACAGTAAATTTCATCATCGAACACCTTTTCTAATGAACAACTGTTGATTCTTTTCTTCTCCTTACGCACTCGTTTTCCTTCGGTTGTTTACTGACCAATGGACCCTTCTTTGCATGGAAATATGCTGAATAAAAAATTCTTGGTACTATTCACTTTGTGCCATGATCAATATCATATATATATATATAAACGGTGTTTTACAGATGCTGTTTGAATCATCTTGGCATAACCTACAGAGAAAGACAGGCCCCACGATGTGCCGGGGGCTAGCCCCCGGCATTTTTTTAAGCGTGTCTGCGAAAATTTTTAATACTGTCTGGCAAAAATGTGTAATATAGTCTGCGAAATTTAATTTTACGGCTGCAGTCGACTGGTCACGTGATAATATGAGCGGTGAAAAATTTTTGTGTTGACACAATTTTTCCCGAAGATTTTACTGAGTCCTGGAGGGGGGGTAGAGGTATCTTCGTCGCGCTACCCCCCCCGTCATCACTTTTAATGAAAAATTGGGAAGTCCCCAAAAAAATAAGTGACTGTCTGCCAAGTTTTTGTGAACTGTCTGGCAAAAGAAAAAAAAACTTTAGCCCCCGCCACTCTCAAAAACAATCGAGAGCCCTGGAGAAAGATCAATTTATTCTCAAGTTATCCTTATTGAAAGTGTGAACAATGAATCCTGATATACATTTTATGATGGCTACTAGTCTAAGTATGATAATGATATTAATATTTTATTGTAGTTTGGAAGAAATAAGAGTAAATGATAGTTTATTTGAAAATACATTGTGGACAGAATTCTGATGGATTTTTTTTTGTACATTGTGTATTAAACAATTGACAAGATAAATCTTTGATATAGTGATGAATTTTATCATAGCTATCTCTATTTATAGTGTTTGACATTTGTCAACATCATATGCGCAATGCAGTGTGCATAGAATTCTATTTACATTGTTTCATTGGATTTTTGATTCAAATATCTGAACGGCGCTATGGTGAAATAGTGAAAAAATATCGAAGACTTACCTCAATATTGATAGCAAATGTTTGGTAAATAGCTTGATTGTATAATGATTTAAATTTGTGGTGACAACTAGATGTATTTACCGTCTATTTTATTATCTGGAAGTTTATATATATTTATTTCAAATGGATTTCAAATGAACTTCTGTTGTCTTTACAAAAAGGTTTTTTATGTTTATGTCAGTCACTTCTTGCATTCGTAATGCATGGTATAGGTTTTCGCTGCATTACAGTTCATCTGAAATTTGCTTTTATATGGTATTTTTCCGTGAAAGATTGTTACGTATAGAAGAAAATATTCTAAACATTGATTATTATCGAAAATACTTTGAAGCTTATTGTAGTTTGTTTATTTAAAAAGATCTTTTATTTTTCTGATCAATTCGAACAATTGTTTTTAATATTGAAATATCAAAAATTCTCTTTAATGGATCCTATATCGTCTTGGTGAGATATTAATTATAAATAGAGGCAGTCAATGAAATTTTAATTAAAGTAAATCAATCCAATTTGATAAAATTTTGACTAAAAATTCATTTTCATATTAGAATAATTTGTTTCGATTTTAACGAATTAGTAATAAGAAAACAATGTACAATACACATTTTACCTTAACTGATGCTTTTCTTGTTTTCGATAAAAATATGAATCGAATTGCTATGTTCCTAATAGTGACAATATTTTAATGTGAATAAAAATTAATAAAAAAAAACATTGATATAAATAGCTAGAACGCAAATATATTATTAATCTTTTCTCAAATTTAATTTATGTTCTTTTAATTTTAGTTTCGAATGTTTATGTTTCCATCCTTGTGAATTTGAGGATTTTTTGATTTCATCAACAGCATTATCATTACCTGGCTTACTAATATTTCCTCACAATGTATACTATTTCTTCCAAGACTATGAAAATATGGAATTCACTGAAATAGAGAAGGAAAAATATAGTCATTCAATTGGTCTTGATGATTTAGTGTTTTACAATTTGATAGTATTATTTGTATTACCATCATTTTCATCCATAGAAAAGAAGATTTATGTTGGAATTAGTTGCATAATATTCCTAGAAATTGGTTACATACTAACAATATGGATAGATACATTCATGAAATTCTGGAACGGAATGGAAGATGGACTAGCTTCACCATTATCAATAATCGCTTTCTCTGCTCATTTTGTTCTAATCAATGTTTTCATAGAAGATTCAAACTCGAATTTATGTGAATATTTAGAATTATCTAATTATCACTAATTTAGAAATGGTGTCAATAAAAATGATTTGATTCATTTTCGATTATCATAAATAGAATGTGTGAGAAATCTAAATTTAAATATGCTTTGTTATTTAGTAGTTACAAATAATCAAATACAAATTATTCTATATGATTATTTATTTAACAAGCATATTATTTTGTAGAAGACAGATGGGTAGTTATTACCGTTTTATCTGACACAATCGTCGTAATTGAGAAAATATGATTCAAAAGTTTCAGAAGCAGACACAATTGCTTGTAAACAGAGAATTTTTAGCCCATTCTGATACTTCTTAATCGTATTTTTTCGTGAATAGTAGTAATTTTAGATAGCGTGAAGAAATCTCACTGTAAAACTCGATTGAAATCAACCGTGCTAAATATCACACATATAGTACTGTGTCTTTGATATGAAATATTAAAAACTAATGTATTCTTATTGTCGTTCATCGCCTTTAATCCTAGTTGCTAAGGTATATAATAGGAAAGAGGACACTATGGCCTTCAATCATGGTTGTTACGATCTGTAATGAGGAAGAAGAGTTGTGAAACTTCGACTTAATACTTAAATTTACTTTTTTCTTCGAAAATCTATGTCAGTTTCACAAAAAGAACTTGTGATATTATTAAAAATTCTAGTCTTTAGCTCGAAAAAAAACATTATTTTCAAATAAGAATATTATGAAGACTATTTTGATTCTTACTATTCTGAGACTATTACAGTTAATAATTTAGTTGTTTTATCACGGGTTGAGCAGAGAAAATATCGCTCGTATGCAAATTTTTTTTCTCGTGTTCACCTTGATCAGACCAGTTTCTTTTGATATTATGACAGAGCAGAAAATCTTGTCTACATCGCATTCATATGCTGATTAGATGGTATATTATTTTAAAGACTTTCTCTAAGTCTTGAGTTCTATAAGTAATTGTTGTTATATCAAAAGATGTCGAATTTCATATTCTACAAAATAAATATGCTTCTGCGATTGGCATTGTTTTCGTTGCAGATGATAGAGTTGATATATATATATTCGCTCAAAGAAAATGGCATCAAAAGTAGATCATTACCTAGTCGCTGTAGCCTGTTTTAGTTATTTTAGGACTTCATGTCAGAATATGACTTTGTACCTCAGCAGTTGACAGTTGGGTGAACATTTTTGATGCTCAGTTTGGATTGTACCTGGAAAACTTATATAAATATATGAGTGAAGTCTTTTCCAATGTCGTGGCGGGTAATTCGCCCATTTTAGTTACTTAATAAATTGAATAGGTTGTGCAGACAATTAAATCAAATCTTGATCAAAACATAGCACTCGAACTTAGACAAAATTTCGAATCTTTCAAGCTTCCAGTGGAACTTTGGAAATTGATTAAACTGGTCAACTGATGAATTGCAAATTAGCTCCATTTTTTATGCTCAACCCGTGATATAATCGAAGTGTATAATTAGTAATATAAACAAATCAAAATGAATAATGAAAGTTTATATAGCATTAATGTTTTTAAAAAACATTTATGTGATAGAACAGCCTGTTCAAGCAAGACGAAGCCACTTTTTTTCTCATTCTGCATTTCTAATATTTCCAGGGCATGAAGTCGATTACGGCAGAAATATTCATAGGTCATGTCAGTCGAATTTCTCTATACATTCAGAAAAGTTCGTCAGATTTAAGGGTTTCATACCTGTTTTATAATTGAAAATTAGGCATGTGACAAAATTAACAAAATTGGACTTGGATTTTGCTTGTTTTTCAGTGAATTAAAAATCGATACTTGCCACACCCATAAAAGAAATGAACGAACTTTCTATAGAAAAATTATAGTTTAGATCACGAGCTATGTGCAAAAGAAAGGAAATTTAAAAATTATGCATTGTTAAATTTCGAGGCAGGCAAAACTGTTGTAGCAAAATCCCGTTTGAGAAATGATCATTTTTTTTCAAATTTATTTTCTTGGGAAAGTTGTATAAGTAGTTTATCATAATTAAAAACTACTATTAAGCAAAGAGAAGCAACTAAAAGAAACAATTTAAAACATCTTTCTGATAATATAAAGGTCCTAATTTAAAAGTATAAAACGCAAACAAAGTCGAAAATATAAAGTGATGCATTAGTTTGTGAAGGTCGTTATATGGTCAACATAAGAAAGCTTGAATTGATTAGTTATAAGTGCATGAAATAATCAATATCAGTGTTTGTAAGCTAATTGCGATGTAAAATAGTGTGTATGAATGCCTGCTATTAACAAAACGATATGTATAATAGGTTTATTTGCGAATTAAATTAATGGTTAGAATAATAATAATGTTTAATTAACAAAAAAACGAAGGCGAACAAATTAAGTAATGAGCGAATAGAAACAAGGCAAACATAAAGTAGAGAACCTGTAAAAATCAGAAAACAAAACAGAATCAAATAAAACGAATCCCTTCTCTAGTGATCAATTATCTTGAATAACAACTGTAACTTGCATGAGATTTTTCATTTTATGTATTCTGTATTAGTATAATGAGATTAAAAAAGACATGTGAGTTCTAAATTTCAGTCACAAGAGAACTGTGCTAACAAGTTTTTCTTCGTAAAACATAGTATGAATTCCACAAAAATCATTGCTTTTGTTATTGGTTTTGCTTCTTAACGGATAAATAATAACATTCGTACCAAGGTGCCAACTTAATTAGACTAGATACATTTTTGTGGAATTCTTAGGCAAATAGACAAATACATGGTTTCTCTTCTTCAGTTCTAAGTGTATAATCATTAAAAAGAAATAGAAGAGAAATTGTCAGTAAATTCTATAAGTATTACTTTTTTTTTCATTGCCTTATAAATAGAATAAGTACGAAATAGATTTTAAAATAAGAAGTAATATTATTCTATTTTGATTTTGATTTGCAACTTAGATTTGTATTTATGTCTAAATTTGAACAAATATCTTCAAATAGTCTGAGATTTAATACCGATTCGTTTAGATGGAATTAGCTAATTCCAAATGTTTTTATTTTTACGAACAGAACAAAATTTGTTTTGTTCTTTGGAGTATTTTTTCTTAAAATTGTAGCATTATCAAATGTAAATTAAATCCAAATATTAGAAACCAAATTAAATTTTGATTCAAAACAATATAATTCTAAATTGCAAGATTTCAAATTTGTTATTCCTCGATATGAAAACCTACTATATGTTCCGAAGACAAAACGCAAAAGAAAAGAATCGGAGAAAAAACTCTGGTGTATAAATACAGACATAATCAGGAATAACTTTTTAGTCAATAGAAAAATATCACACTGTCTTGATCGAAATCAAAATCAACATAGTTACACCTCACTGGAATAGAAAGTCTCTACTTGATACTTTGTATACCATTATTATTGATTTCAAGTACAATATCCAGTGAGATATTTATTCATGGTACATAGAATGACAAGTATATAAAATAGTGATACTCATTAGAATACCAGTAAACATTGTGTTCAATTCCTTTAAACAATATCAATAAAAACAAAATATAAAGTTGATCGATCATCATAAATGTTTTTTTCTTGTATATGTCGCAGACTGTGTTCTTTTTGCAGTCATGACAAAATTAACAGAAGAGAAAATGATCGAACAAAGATATAATTATAATATCTCGTGTTCATCAGTGTAGAAAGATAAAAATCTATGTCAAATGAAATTGGTCATGTCGATTTTTCTCGCTTATTTTGTGACATTTATGTCTTTTATTAAAGTTCGATCAGAACACATTGAAAATATAAATAAATGTCACAATATCATTCATGATGAATAGAATTTATCTCGATTGATATTTTTATAAATTGCGAACAAAAATATTTTTAAAAATTGTCATCATTTAAAAAAATGTTCTTTTTTGAATTATAAAATGAGTATTTAGAAGAATTAATTGAAGAAAAATTATAATTAATGTTCTTACAAATCTCTAATATGTCTAATAGTTATGAATGTTCACAATAAGACAGTTCTTGTCAATAATAGATACATGAACATTATTATTATTATTATTTTATGCATAACTATTCATCTCAGCAGAAAATCAACAGATTATTTTCTATTACAATAATGTTGTCGAATTGGTTATAAAATATTTATCAACAGAAAAACAACTACCTTAGTGTATATAACTACTCAATGACAAAAATTTCTATTCATCATTAAGAATATTTTGACATGCATACTAATTAAATCATATGTTTAACCAATATCTATTTAGATTTTGTGTTTAAGTTATAAAATTGGATGGAATTGAAGAATTGTATATGAAAGTATTTCACAAAGCTACTATCAGATATCAAAATGTTTCAAGCATTTTGCTGACTAATAGTAAATAATTTTGAATTTTTGATCGCAACTACGTCCGTATACGTCACCTAGTTTCGTGATGTATGTCTTAATTAACAAGCAGCAAAAACGAATTTCTCAATTGACACGAACTGATTATTTATCTATCTTTCATATATGTTCGAGCCCATCATTAGTTATCATGTGCATTATGTCAGTACAGGTTGATATCTACGCTTTTATTTTCGATGTTACTTGGATCAAGGACAGGGTCATATTAACACTGAAAATATGTATATATATATAGATATCAAGAAATATGTGTATTCGGCTTTCTTACACATTACTTTCTGTCGAATACCTGTTTATCACGATGACAAGCAACAAGACTCCTGTATACACAACACAATATTCTAATGCATCAACGCATTCTGATGAGAGTGAAATATCTTCACCATTACCATCAAGCAATACAGTACAATATGGTCCAATTCAAATTCGTCTTTGTCGAAAACCAGCTCCGACAATAGCAACTGGTCGTCGACCAAAACATCTTGCTCTAGTTGGTGAAGAAGCTATTAAACGTGAAAAACGTCGTGAAAAAAATCGGGAAGCAGCTCGAAAATTAAAAGAACGACGACAAAGTATCGAAGATGAACTTAATCAAAAACTCCAAGAACTTCAAGGTGAACATATAAATTTACAGAGTTATCTTCAACAACTTCAACAAAAAAAACAATTTTTACAAGAGAAAGTAAATAATTGTCTTAGTGATCCTATTGATGAATTATTATCAAATGATGATGAAGATATTACCTTATTTTTGGAACAATATTTAGGTGATCTCGAACTTTATAATGAATTAAAAGAAAGTAACTTTAATTTCGACACAGACATTAGTTTCAATTCAATGGGAGATAGTTAATGTATTTTTTTCGTTTGTGTGTGTGTAGATTTCTGTTTTTCTTTTATCATAATGATCTTTAAATTGTATGAAAAGATTGATATCTTTAATTATAAGAATACTAATTCGATTTATACTTTTATTGAACGACTACTTGGGATACATTTGTTGCTCAAAGCAAAAATCATCAATCGAGGTCATAAATAGTCTCGAACAGTAATCGAATCCTTCGATAAATCACAAATATTCTCCTTTGCTTGCCATCTGTTATCATTATTAAATTAGAAAATAATTATATTTATTCCCGAGACGCAGTGCTCTCTTTTATATCTACCTATACATCTTATCTGCAGCAATGCGTTTGAATGAAGACGGTAACTGTCAAAATATATTAGGTATTATTTCACAGGTTTGACATGAGTTAGAGATAAAAAAATGATGTTATAAGGCTTCTTTTGATAACTATCATCATTTTTGATTTGTTATTCACTCATTTACAAAGATAAATGGTTATTTTTTTTGCCTTCTGCATTAATATATAAGCTTGACGATTAGTAAAATATCAAAGCGTGTCTAATAAAAAGTGACAACAAAATTTCACTTACATATTTCATACATTTTTTTTTCTAATAATTAATTCAAAGTTCTCTCACATATAACTCATCAAGATTATTGATTTTGAAAATTGTCAGGTTTCTACTTAAAGCTAATGCCGAAATATCGAGACGAGATTAAAAAATATAAACATTCGCACTTGCTCGTTTTGTAATATTTCAATGATGCATATTTGGCTTTTTTTTAGGGAAAGCAATCAACTTTTAAATGGGCTCAATTTGTTTCACTCCACGGCCTTTATGCGCCAGAAGACACTTTGACACCAAAGGTTTTTTTAACTTGAACTTAAGTGTCTTAAAGGCATATTATATTTAGAAAGCTTCAGTATTAAGTCAGCTGATACTATATTAAACGCACCTCAAATTAATATACGCATTTTTTTTTATTGAATAAAAGATTTATTAAAAATCATTTAGCAAAAACTCAAGACTTTTGTAATTAACTAGCATCCGTTGATCAATGTGTTCACCTCTTTGTAGTCATGTAAAAAGAAAACTACCAAATATTTAAACAACTATTCACTCTCGTTGTCAAATTATTAGATGAAAGAATTTAAGTTTTACATGTACAGAAATTAAAAAGTCGATTTTATACTGCAAGAACATCTGGTGTCTACCATAGTCAGAGTATTTCGTCTGTACGGAAATGATGTTTGTAGTTCATTCTAATTTCTTTCTTGATTATTTCTTTTGTAGTATATGAAAACGAAACCTATTACGTCCGATTTTCGTCAATGAGTAATTGCTTTAGTTTTGCAGATAAAATCATATTCCTTTAGTTTTAATGGATAAAATCTATGATTAACAAAAATTCATTTTACTAAACAAAAAATAGATTATTATTCTTGTTTCTTTGACTGAATACTTCAAGGCCTTTATGAAGCCTTATCTTTATCAGTCTCCAACGCTTACTTTTGCTATACATATACCGTGAGGTTCTTGAAAAGTCAATGACTATTACAACATATAATGCTACATGTCATTTACAATTGTACCAACAATATCAAATGAGATGCTTTAATAAAATCTTAGTTCTTGTTTTGGTTTCTTTTTTTTATAACTCAAAAGAGTTTTTTCTTTGCGATTTAGTTTTCTGAATATGTATGATCTTCATTTACAAATTCGACAGAATAATGTCCTTTAATCTTCGATTTTTATACTTCGTAAAATATTGAATAATTGAATCAATAAAGTCCTATTTAACGCAAAATTCTTGTTTAACTTTATATGACTTCAATAGGCTACAGACAAAAAAAAAGATAAGACCTTGAAGTTAACAGAAAGTTAGTCATGAAAAATTTGTCCTATAAAACGATGGAATTTGTTTTTTGAAATATTTTGTTGTTTGTTCTTATTGATCTTGAACATAAGAAACTTGATGAACACTTGCATCAAGTTTGACTGGCTCTTTTTGATGTTTTTCATTAGCTTCAACAATTTTATCTGCATCTTCTTTTGTGATTGTACCAGCATTCTTAAGTGTTGTATTAGCAATTGAACAAACTTTTTCTTCTACTTTTGTTTCACCACTTGCTAATTTTTCCCAATATTTTCGTGTTTCGTTTATAACACGTTGTGCATATTCACGATTAGCATATTTTCCATCAAGTGCAAATTTATTTGGAGGTTTTCCAGTAGGAACTTTATAATATTTAAACCAACGACGTGTTGCTTCAAGTAAACCAGGAAGCTGTTTATCAACATCATCAATATCGTTAATCTATAAGAAATAAAAAGAAGTAGAAAATTATTTGTTTTTTTTTGTTCTATTTTAAAATTATACTTGTGATGCAAGCTTGTCACGAATATCAATACCAATTAATTTCCAATCTGTTTCACCTTCATCAATTAAACCAAGTACACCAACTATTTTAACAGGTACAATTGAACCAGTTGCATGAAGATCCGTACCTATTTCACATACATCTAATGGATCGTTATCACCTGTTGTTTTTGTATCTTCATCAATATGATTTGGATCTTCCCATGTTTGAGGTAATGCACCATAATTCCATAAATAACCATGATAAGGAAATACATTATGAACAAAACGAGGTTTGCCTGTAAAAAAAAAAATAAGAAATTTAAAATTTAAAACAAAGAATAAATATAAAAAATTTGAAATCACGAACCACTCTTAACATCTTGCACAAGTGGATTCATTTTAAGTTGTTTATTTATTTCCATTTTAGCATTGGTCCATCGTGGTACTTCAACAACCATATTATAAATTGTGTCTGCTTGATTTCTAGGTGACGAAGTATAATGTGCATTAACAAGTGGAATATCATGAAATGGTGAAACAATTGTTTTTGTTTGAACATCTCGAAAATAACAACGATAATTAAGTGTATGTAATTGACCACGTTCAACTAGTTCATAACGTTGATTTTCATTGTCGTTGGATTGCGATGCCATACTTGCTCCTGGTTCACCTTGTATATCTGAATATTGAATTTTTTTTTGATTTTATTGACACTGTAGACAGGTTCTTTTAATGTTTGCAGATAAAAAAAAGAATCGAATGCGTTCTAGAATGAATAAGAGTAAAGGAAAAAAAGAATAACCGAGAGCAAAAGATTAATTTATGATCGTATAATCGCATAAAATGCACGAACGGAGAAAAATGATAATACGCATGATGAAAGCTGATTATGTTTCACATCAATGCACACATCATTACTAAGGTAATTTTCTTCTTTCCTGATGGTAAATTGGATCGTAATTCGTTTGAAGATAATAGAAACTGCAATGTAGAAAGTTTTCAATGACATTTTATATATGAGTTCATCATGATACGTAATAAAATATTTACACATTGATGATTATTCAGCAAAAAATAAAAATAAAATTATGGAATGATTCATTGAAACCTGTGTTAAATTATGTTTTCATATTCTGTTGACGTCATTCAAGCATCCATTAAAGCATAAAAAGCGTAAAAAATATGTGAATAATAAAAAAAAGCATACTGGAACTCGAAAATATTATGATTATGATGTCATGAAATATATATTCTTTTTTAATGATTTTAATGAATAATACTTTGACCTTGATCAAACAATAAAGAAAATACGAGACATTCGAAAATTAAACTTCATGTTTGGATGTAAGATGATACATGAATAAACCTACTTTTTTTTCTTTCTTTCTTTCTTTTAACTTTGAATAATTATTTTCATTATAAATCAATAAAAATCATCCTGATTATAAATTCATTTTTTACGCATTTTTAATAATGAATTATTTTAATCTGTAGCTAATTAAATTTTAGCGATGAAAAATTACATATTTCGTACATACGACCTCTGTCTTATTTAAATGTAACTATAGTAACTAAATTGAAAATGGCTACTTTATATTCTTCTTTGACCTTATTGCTTCATCGTTTAACTTGGATTAAAAATGCCACCAAAAGGGAAAAAAGGAAAGTCCGAAAAAAAGAAAAATAAAGAGAAAGAAGAAATTCTTCGTCCATCTGAAAAAGAAACCATTCTCCAAGACGAGTAAGGTTTTTCTCTTTAATGTAAAAATCTGATTCTTTTCTTTTCGTCTAGACTCGATAAAAAAGTACAAGAATTAACTGATATAAAATTGCGTGTTCGTACTGCGTAAGTTAATTTTTATCAATCTTTTCTTCTAAATCTTCTTATAGTCAAGAAGAAAATAATTGGCTTAATGAAGAAGCAAATAAAGTTCGCGCAGAAACAGTAAATATTTAAATAAATCTTCTTAATATTCATAAATAGACACATTTATAATAGGCTGAATACGTGCAATATATGTCGAAAAAGACAAATATTCGTCAAGCACAAATTGTTACATTAACTGATTATCATCGACAAGAAATCGAAGAAATAAATCGAGATAAAGAGAATATGTTAAAAGAATATGAGAAAAAAAAAGAAGGTTTATTATTTTTCAATCAGTATTTTCTACATGAATAAATTCTTTGCTTTTTAGAATTACGATCTCAATTATTAAAAAAAGAACAATTATTAGCACAAACAAAACATGAATTAGAAAATATGGGAGAATATAAAGTTTGTTTATTAAAATTTTCATTTCATAAAAGAAATCCTAAAATAAAAATGAATTGTAGAATATTCAAGAACAACAAAATAATGAAATAAAACGTTTACAAGAAGAAATTAATCGTATGCGTGGTGAACATGTACGTGAAATATCTAATATGAGATTAACTTTTCAAAAAGAAGTTCAACGACAACGTACCGAAGAAGATGCTAAAGTTCAAGAAATTCGACGACAAGCTGATCAAGTTTGTTTAAATAAATAAGTGAATATTCTTTAGTCATTATTATTATTATTTAGGAAGCAGAACAATTTCTTTATGATCGAACTTTAAGTATTCAAAGTGAAAATCTTCAATTACGTAAATCATTACAAGAATTACTTAAACAAATTCAAGCATTGGATGAATCAAAACAAAATTTAGAAGAAGAACAACTTATTTTAATTCGACAACTTAAATTAGCTACTGATCTTAAACGAATACGTTTGAATAAAACTACACTACCTCTCAGTACTACTTCAACTAAATCAACACCTCATTAATCTCATATACGAATCTTTTTTTTTAATATTTATTTTTATTTATTGATTCTGGATAAATAAAAAAAAAAAACTGCGTGAAAACATCTCATTGGAATAAATCCGAAATTCATTCGAAAAGGTTTATATACTCGTTATAGATTTATTATATACGTGAATTTGAAACTTATCAAAATGTGATGCCTCTCGATAGGATGTATGTGCGAGTGAAAAACGATAGAAACAAAACATATACTCACATCCACATCCTTTTTGATTAGCTAAAAGCTTCAACAATCTTTACTATTCACAAGTAGCAGGTATTCACCATTGAAAGTTTTACTGCATTTGATTTTTAGTGAGAACATGATAATCATATGAAATTTTTGTCATTTTCTGAAAGATTTCTTCCTCTATTATTCGTAAATCAACAAGAGTAATGAATCAACATGGTTTCATTGTAAGATTGCTAAACAATACATAAGGTTTTTATAAACGCGACATTCTTTGTTACAAATCTTTGTATCTTTTAAGAATATATATTTTTCATTATATCTGGTGTTCGATTGATCACGGCATAATTTCTCGTTTTTACTCTTATGTAATAAATAAATCATTAGAATTTTTTAATAAGTCCAAATGCTAATTTGAACAATAAAATTTAATATCATCTTTTTTTCTAAATAAATTTAACTATATTCTAAAACAATAATTGACGTTTAACTTATGGCATATGATAGTTGAGACTTTTCTCTTTTATGGTACATTAGACAAATTATCATTGTTCGACATGAGGTCGCCACAACCAACGTAATTTTGACCCGACTCAGGTCAAATCACGTTGAATGTGGTGACCTCATGTCGAACACTGCAAATTATTCACTACTATCTAAACATTAGACAAGTCACATCATGTTGGGTTGGTGAGCAGCTCAATGATGAATATTAAGTGGAATAAGTTAAAAGTTTTTGCGAAAATTTGACGCCATTTCCAGATCGGTTATAGTGATTATGCAATATAGTTACAGAACACTAGACATAGATTTACTATAAATAGACCGATTGCAAATCAACTAATTTCAGCTGGTTTAATGAAAATACCTTATTAATGGCTATTGTTCGTCAGTATAGTTTTTAATCTCGTTACATTGTTGTACATTATGTGAATAAAGGTAAGACCACAAATTATAATTATTATTTCGAAAATCGTCTTAAGCCTTTGTTTAACAAAACATAGAAACAAACAAAGACATCAAGTGTGTGCAATATACAAAACTACTTGACGATCATGTTGGGGTCATACTCATTCAATACATGGCTACGAAATTCGAATGGTAAACGACCTATAACGTCTAAATGATCATGATATCGAATTAAATGAAATAAGGATAAGTGTAACGACTTTCCAAAAAACCGTAGGAAAAAAACATGTGAACAACTCTCGAAATATGTTTAAATTTCATATAAATATTAGTAGAGAACATTTTTGTCTGAGAGGAAATTTTTTTTTCATTCTAATGAGCTAGCCAATAAAGCACAGAGAAATAATTTACATGCCACCGTTGAAACTTTTATAGACATTTCGAAAGTCATCTGGCATGTGAATGCTCCTCCTTTTTTTATGTTTTTGTTACGAAAATCAACAGTGATAGCACTTACAAAATATAATTATTGAGTTCTATGATGTAGTGACCTTCTTAATAGTTCCAGAGCACAACCATTCCGAAGCATGTAATCTGATTCGATCAAATTTGATTGGATCTTGTTTAAAGCTCGCGGAAGTTGCTAAAAGAATTATCTTCACCGTGTCATTTTAGAGTGCCAGATTTATCGAAGCTTTCCGTCAGTCGAATTCTACTGAATAATACTGTTTTATGATATCATCCACTTCAAACAAAATTCATCTCAATTTCACCAAATCCAAAAGCTGTTCTAATATGAGCGAAGGAGCATATTACTTGCCCTGTGATAGCTAGTTTTCGTGCTTTCGGTTATCGACAACAGATTTCTGCTGAGAACTCTATTTCTCCAGTAGTACCGAAGTAAAATTCTAGTTTGATGCCATAATTTCTATCGTTGATAACAGATCAACATCAGAATGTTTTAGCTCGTGTGAATAGTTCCCATTAGATAGTTGCATGCGGTGTTATTTTAAGCTTGTTTTTGATCATACTGTACAAACTATATTCTATGAAGAGAGACAAATAAAATAAAAAGA